AATGGCAGTGATGGTAGAAATGACTCAAAAAATTGAAAAAGGTCAAGAAATGAAACTCGGACAAGAAGAAATAAAAGTAGACGTAAAAATTGGATAAGCAGACTTTAAACAGAAAATGGAAGCAGTAAAGGATATATACGAGAATGGAGGAAAAAAAATTACATCAGAATTTAGATGGAAAGGAAAATAGAGACGAAATTCCTAGAATTGGATGCACGAATTGAAGAAATGAGAAAAGAAATTGAAAAGCTACGACTACCTAATAGTGCGAGAAGTGATGAGTCCGGCGCAAGACCATCAAGCATTACACCTCCAACTTTTGATGTACTCTAAGGAATGGCCGACTTTCAACGCGATCTTATATACAGGCTTGTTGTTGGCCGACATAGTAGATGATGTTATCATTATATTGAAGAAGATGGGATCGATCTAAACCTGAGAAATTCTACATGCGCTTCGATGGAAAAGGGATAGTAGTGTCAAATATCGAGTACTACCGAGTTACTCCGAGAGCATTATAGGAGTCAGATTAGACGACGACATCGGCGAATTGGTGGGAGTAGTCGAACCGGACAATCAATACTTGACACATAAAGCATTATCGGCGGAACGTACACTCGTAAGAAGTGGAATATCATTCATACCTGTTAGAATATAGCCAATTAAAAAGATTTCGAACAAAAGATGTGCTAAGGGCAGATTTGGGAGTATTTGAATTAGTAACTGAAATCCACCACAATGATTGGGACACGAAACCGACATTTTGTACAACCTCAACAGAACTGGTGAAAAACGTCAATTATCCATCTCAGCAAGCACCAAGGAAGCAATTAAAAGAACGTCTTGACCGTTTTCAACGTCTTCACCTTCTCAAAGGAAGACTTTCGTAGGACCAACTTAATAAACCACCGCATCTACACTGGAACAGCAAGACCCATCAAACAACTACCTAGAAGAGTTCCTTGAGCGAAGCAAGGGAAGTCAATAACCTTAAAAAGGACATGCATAACCAAAGGTTGATAGAACCATGTCAAAATTCCTGGGCCTTTATAGTGCTGGCACTGACTCCACGAGAGTTTGTAAGGACTACAGGAATCTGAACGATGTAACGCAGAAGGATAGCTACACAGATGATCTAGCTCCCTTGCCCTGACATAAAATACACCCAAGACTGTAATTAAGACCATCGCACTGTAAAGCAAAAGGTTTTGAAAAATCGGGATTGGTGAAAATTGGAGCAGAAGCAAGAAGTGACTTAATTCTCTGAAAACCGTCTTCGGCTTCGGTGGTCTATATGATCGACTGACGGTTCTTTTTACCCTTTAAGAGTTCGGAAATAGGAGTAATAACAGAGGAAAGTTCCGTTATAAACCCTTGATACTAATAAACCATGCCAATAAAAAGTTTGAATTCTGTAAAAGTCGTAGGTCTGGCGTAATTTGCGATGAGAGAAACTTACTCCGTGTTACTTGACAGTATATCCCAAATATTTAAGACTAGGCATACAAACAGTCTTCTTTTAGGGACCACAAAGGCGTAACATTCATAAGAGTCGGGAGATAAAGACCAGAATGCTTTCTTCAAATCGATTGCAGACAAAAACAAAATTACTCATTAATAAGCATACAATCAATTCAAATAATAATATTACAAAACCCGTCAATCTTGGTCCCTAAAAGGGGGATAGTTCCTTGCGTTTATTGGACGACGATTAGCGGTGAGTTCAAAAATTAGGTTGAATTTCACGATGTCTTTGATTTTCTTACATATACCAAGTTAATCGAATATCCAAAAATTCTAAAATATTTTTTAATATCAGCATCAAAGGGTAAAGCGTAGTAAGCTATCAATTCGCTAATGATTTCCTCAGATAATTATTTGGTTTCTTGGAATATATTAAGTAAATGTTCCGAAAACGAAAAGCTTATCGTGCAAAATATTGAGTTGTTCGGAAAGTCATTTCGTTTTTTCCCGACAGAGGATTTAATTGTATTCTTTTGCACCCAACTTCACATTTAAGCCGTATAATTTTTATATGCTTTGAGAGCTCATATAGCAAGGCTTGTGTGTGAAAAATTCCAATTAATTCTACGCAGTAGTTTTTGGTTGGTGCCCTTTTAAATATGGAGAGCGATAAGCAGCATTTTCGACATATCTTACTGTTTTACTACAGGAAGGGTAAAAATGCTGTTCAAGCCAGAAAGAAATTGACTGATGTGTATGGAGAAGGTGTGTTGACAGTACGCCAGTGCCAGAACTGGTTCGCTAAATTTCGATCCGGCAATTTTGTTGTCGAAGATGCACCACATTCGGGAAGGCCGGTTGAAGCTGATAAAGACGCGATAAAGGCATTAGTTGATGTGAACCGGCGAATAACAACACGTGAGATCGGATTGAGGTTAAATTTATCAAATTCAACAGTTTATGACCACTTGAAAGGCCTGGGATTATCCTCGAAGCTCGATGTATGGGTTCCCCATGTTCTCACAGAGAGAAATCTGTGTCGCCGCATTGACGTCTGCGATTCGCTTCTCAAACGTCGCGAAAATGATCCGTTTTTGAAGCGCATCGTCACTGGGGACGAAAAATGGGTTGTATATAACAACGTCAAACGCAAGAGGTCATGGAGCAAAAAAGATGAACCGGCTCAAACTATTTCCAAAGCCGATATTCACCAAAAAAAGGTGATGCTGTCTGTTTGGTGGGATTTTAAAGGAATCGTTTTTTTGAGCTTTTACCGGATAATACAGCGATTAATTCGGAAGTCTACTGTCATCAGCTGGACAAACTGAATGATGCACTTCAACAGAAAAGGTCAGAACTAATCAACAGGAAAGGTGTAGTGTTTCACCAAGACAACGCGAGACCTCACACAAGTTTGGTCACTCGCCAAAAGCTTTTACAGCTTGAATGGGATACAATGCTACACCCACCATATTCTCCAGACCTGGCACCATCGGATTATTATTTGTTCCAAAATTTTTTAGACGGTAAAACCTTCACCTCAAATGAGGAGGTCAAAAACCTCCTCGATCAGTTTTTTGCCAGCAAAGACCAAAAATTTTATGAGCGTGGAATTGTGCTACTACCAGAAAGATGGCAAAGGTGTTGGACCAGAACGGTCAATATATAATTTAATTAAGTATTTGTTTATTATACGAAAACTGTCTTTCATTTCCAACAAAAAAAAAACGAAATGACTTTCCGAACAACCCTATAGTATCAAACCTTTTCAGTTTACAGCCAATTCAGAAAGACTCGTACACATCGTTACAAAAACTGCCAGACAATATATTAAAAATCATCCAATCAGCGAAGTTACCTCCTAAATTGGTAGTGCATCAAAGTGAATGGGAATCACATCAGCAGGTGATTTCACCAATTTACAAAAATTTTAGGTTTGCAATAAGTAACAAAATTGACATTCTATTAGGGGCTAATATTTTCTGGGAACTGTTATCCATTGGATAACATTCCTTAGATAAAAACAAAATTGCATTGCAGAATACTAAATTACGTTGGATTTTGGGGGGTAATCTTCTTTTAAATAAAGATAATAACATTTCACCGAATCTAGTAAGTAGAAGTAAAGGTAAACCTGTAGTTTCGCGAAGCAAAATTCTATGGCCTAATCCATTTTTAGACCCATCTGGTATTCTACAAGTTGGAAGCCGTTTAAGGCTATATCTATCACTATAGAAAAAAGCACCCAATAATTCTACCATCTAAACATTTTGATGACAAATAATGAACACATTCGTTTATTACTGACCAACTTACCAACCCTTGTGGCAAATCAATGATAGAAAAAGTTATTCATTAGTGCATAAGAGCCAAAATTAAGGATAAAAAAGGCCGCGACAGTAAACCTTTGAATGTTTATATCTGACTCTTTCTATATTTTGCTGCTAAAGCAATATATTTAGAATTGGTTTCTCAACTAAACATGGAGGCATTTTTAGCGAGTTTTAGGCGATTTGTGGCTAGGACTGGGACAACGGTACCAATTTTGTAATCGCCAACTCTGGACTTACGAACTTGTACAATTTTATTAAAGTCAAAGAAAATCAAAGGCAGAGAAGAAATCAATTGAATAAGGATAAAGTAAAATGGAATTTCATACCACCTCTCTCTCCTCATTTCGAAGGTCTTTGGGAGACAGGGGGTTAAATCTTCCAAATTACACTTAAAATGAGTAGGTTATAATTCGAATCTAACCTTTGAAGAATTTTATACAATTTTAACTGAAATTGAGGAACTTTGAATTCGCGACCCCTTAGTCCCTTATCTACCGATATTAGCGGCATGTTCGGTTTTCTCAAAGACGAATCGATATTTTTAGAATAACAGTTTTAATAATAAAAAAGTTTTATTCTATTTTTGTAATTTTCCTTGTTTAAATTCTATGTTATTCATAGTTATATTCGGCCATTTGGGTCATTTTACAACCTTCATCTAGTTTTCCGAAATTGAGGTAGTTAAGTAGTTTTAGTCGTCGGTATTTTTCATCTCTATTGTATTATAAATACGTTGTATATTATCAGTAAATAATGTTTACTAGCACATTTATATAAGCGCGATTTACTTTGTCAAAAGTCAGTCAATAGAACTCAGTGAGCAAAAGTCATTCGTTACATTTTCAACCCAGTCAAGACTTTGTACATTTCTTCATTTAATATTTTCATTATATATATTTCTTTGTTCACTTAGTTTAGTTTATTCTGGTTACTTAGTTTTACGATAGTTTTAGTTAGTACTTATTTGTAAATATTCGGTTTTTATATATTAATTAAATTCTTAATATCATTGAGAGTTTATTCATTAAAAACTGCGGTACAACAGTACACCAAAAAACGTAAAAACGACGCTTGCTTCTTCTACATAATTAAATGCGCGCTGTAAATGTAATGAGGTTAGGTGTTAAAAGTAACCACAGTCAAAACAATGCATTCATATTTATAAACGCGCAGATTTCATTTAACATTAAACTTTATTTTCAGGTCACTGGCAACTCAATACTCGTACATTATCCTCCAATATACTTCAACGATGGTCTCGTATCTATGACATTAGGACTGCGTTTTACCCTAAGCAGTGTTCATTTTCAAGGCGGTTTAATGAAAGTAAAATGTATTGCTTCCGTTTCTCCAGTACTGTGGCGTGGTGACCGTGAAAGTATCGTGCAGAGTTTGCCCATCAAAGATATGAGGGAGGCGTTATTGTTAGGTAATTATAACTTTACTTTCAGTAGTAATAAACCTTTTTACTGCAAAAGGAAAGATATTCCGCAGCTTACCGATTTGGTAAGTCAGCTAATGCACGTTTCATTTATATTGTTGCGCATTCTTACTTTTTTTTTAATTTACCTCCATTGGTGTCAGTAGTTTTACGTAGTATGCATTTACAGCAAAACGGGCAACACATTCTTAAAACCTTGTATAACTCCTGTTACTGATAATAATACTAATCTTTAGAGATTAAGTTTAATTTGAATTTAAAAGGTAAGCATTGGGCAAAAAGTTGACACCTGGCACATTAACCTCCAGAAATTGTAAATGTACTTGAACGAAGGAACTTTACTCCAAAATTAAAAAGTAGCTTCGAAACAAATATTAAAAAAGTAAAACGAATCTCCTAAAACCAACAGGAACCTAGTAAATATTTTTTTTAATCACCGATTGTTTGTAATTATTAAGAAATAAATTTGGCGACGTTCGCTAGTTAAATCATTATATTTTGTAGTATTGTTTTTAAAAAGTAGTAATTTTTTTGTTATTGCCAAAAGACCTATCCAAAGTGATCAGTAATTCCGGACAACGTAACGTAATTAGCGGTGTGAATAAAACATTGCTGGCTGCCGCGCCGCGTCAAACGGTTAATGCGGAGAAAATAGCCCTACTTTTAAAAATTTTTCATCGGATTGAGCTTTTTTGTTTTTTTAATCTGGGATAATATAAAAAATTATGAACAATGGTGCAATTAGGCAATGAATACTTTTCGTTCTAATAGCAATATTATGTGCTATTGTTAAATTATTATAGAATATGGATAATTTGTTATTTTTATTGTTTATTTATTTTGTTTTCCGAACAAATATTCATGTTTATAAAACGACAAAGATGAAAGTAGTACGAAAGTTCAACACTGAAAATAAATAATATAATACAATTCATTTTTTTGCCTTACATACGTAGATAACCAGGTATACCATCAAAAATAATATAAAAAATATATATACAGAGATACTTAACTTTTCCCCGCTTACAGCATAGAACAACTCCCATCTGATAACAAAATTCACGAAAATTCTTTAGTAAGCAAGTTATATATTGCGACTTAATACAAAGAAACTATTGTACTACTTATGCAACTGCGTTGCATTCTTAAAATAATGAGATCATTGTATACACAAATTGTTTATTGGATCAATGACATCTATTGTTCTGATAAAATAAAGATGTTAGGTATTTCCTGCAATGCCAGCAGAACACGGTATATAAACACTCTTCTTCTTCTTCTTTCGAATCCGGCCATCTAGGGACCACGGAAAACAACTATTCATGATTTTCTTTTCTCTCTTGCTCTTATCCTCCAGTAGTCCTTCATCCTTTCGCTTTGTTGCTTTCGTCTTTCTTCTGTCCATACACCTCCTGTCTTCTTCTTTAGCTTAGCTTGAAAACCAACAAAGTTTTTAACCTTTGATCTGAATACCTCTCTGTTGTCCACATCCATCCTTGTTATCCCCATTTCCTCCAGGTCAGACTTGACCCCCTTGAACCATGGCATATGCGTTTTTGGGTTTTTATCAAAATAATCAAATAATTGTTTTGTTAGTCTATCATCATTCATTCTGCTCAAGTGTCCATAGAATGTTATTCTCCTCTTCCTCATTGTGTCCGTTATTCTTTCTGTTTTCTCGTATAGTTCCCTGTTACTTTTGAGTTTCCATTTACCATCTTCATAGTTTGGTCCGAGGATTTTTCGAATTACCTTCCTTTCCTTCTTCTCGAGTTCATCTAACTGTTTGGCTGTGTTCATCGCCAGGCATTCAGAAGCGTATAAGCCTTCTGGTTTAATCACAGTGTCGTAATGTTTCAGTTTCGTATTTCGAGAGATGGACTTTTTATTATAGACATTTTTTGTCAAATGGAACGCGGTTTCCATTTTTCTTGTTCTTGCCATGTTGGCTTCTTTATCTAATCCATTCGATTGGATTATTTCTCCAAGGTATTTGAATTTTGCGACTTTCTTTATTTTCCCGTATATAGTTTCAAGGAATTTGGGGCCTTGCTCAACATTTGTCATGTATTCTGTTTTCTCGAAAGATATGAGGAGCCCTGCTCTTTCAGCTGTTTCCTTTAGGATATTAATTTGCTTTACTGCGTCTTCGTAGCTAACAGCCAAGATCGCTAGATCATCTGCAAATGCCAAACAATCGAACTCCAGACCGTCTTTCTTTCTTCCTATCTTGACTTTCTGTATTCCTTCTGTTTCCATTTTTTTCCTCCATTCTCTCATAATTTTTTCAAGTGTACAGTTAAACAGTAGTGGTGATAGTCCATCCCCTTGTCTTACTCCTGTCTTGATTTCGAAGGGTTCTGAAATTTCTCCTAGAAATTTCATTTTTGATTTTGTGTCAGTAAGAGTTTGCTTAGTAATAGCCAATGTCTTCCTGTCAGCGCCAAATTCTTCCAAGGTATTGAAAAGGGTCTCCCTGTCTACGGAATCATATGCCTTCTTAAAATCCACGAATGTTATGTGAATGTCTTGGTTTCTCATTTTTTTATAATTAATTATGAGTTTTAAATTCAGAATTTGTTCAGCACATGATCTGCCTTTCCTGAATCCCCCTTGATACTCTCCCAATTGGTGATCTAGCTGTTTATCCAGCCTGTTTTGTATTGCCTTCGATAGAATTTTATATGTTACTGGAAGCAGTGAGATGCCTCTATAATTATTGACATCCGTTCTGTCCCCCTTTTTGTGTATAGGATGTATTAGGGCTGTTTTCCATTCCTCGGGTATCTTCTCTGTTATCCAGATGTTTTGGATGACACTGTGCAGCTTTTGGACCATCTTTGTATCTACATGTTTCCACATTTCAGCCACAATAGAGTCCTCCCCTGGGGCTTTATCATTTTTTAGGTTTTTTATGATTTGTTGGATCTCTGACAAATCAGGTGGATCTGAGTCCTTGAACACGTATTCTGGTTCAATTTTGTCAAACCTCTCTTTCGGTTCTTCACAGTTTAAGAGCTTATTAAAATATTGTGCTAGTATATTGCATAAACACTCTATTATATATATATTAACACTCCAAAATTACTTCTTCACTTATACAAGTGTATTGGTCCTCAAGACACCTCCTTTGTGAGTCACTTTTCATACTTTGTTTAAATGAAGCTTTTCTGTTTTTAAAAACGGGTTTTTGTTTTAAACAAAAATAACTGGCACTGTGAACAGGATCGGTAACGGCGTCTTTATAGTGGTTTTATCGCGAAAAAGAATTGAAAACGTCGCGAAAGTTCAGTTTCGGTTATACCGATTCGAAGTCTCTGTGGAAGAAATTCCATCTTCGGGAGACTTTTCGTGGAAAGGAACATCTTCAGGAACCTCTGTCGGAAAGGAAATGCGTCGTGTTATCACCTTTCTTTACCTAAGCTTGTAAGTATCTTTTGATTATTCCTTTATTTTTTGCTTGTATGCAACCAAACTGTAAATGTCTCTTTCCGAATCTGATTTCGACATCGAGAATAATATTCGACGTCAAAGTTTTTCTTCACCCAAATATGTACGGTCCCCGAATTTTCTGGTGAACCTTATGGACTTCCAAATTTTATAACCAAGGCAGAACATTATTGTTCTATTCATGGCGACAACGTTCCATCTACCAAAACTGTAGCTTTACTGGATCCGATTGTGATTCGTATTACTGTCAATGCTGCTCGATATATTAGTACAAACATTGTCAACAATTGGTACTCTTGGAAGAAGATAGAAAAATATGGTGACCCCCGTTTTGAACTAATTTTAGAATTATAACTAACACGATGTAATTGGAGTTATTCCTAATATTATGACCAAGTAGAGGAAAAATTAACTAACCTGTTAGACTTTATTCGTTTAAATGATAAAGACAGTTTAATAATAAAATCAAAAATGTATGAAGAGAAAGCTTTAATACTATTTAGAGCCGGAATTGGAGATCCTTGTCGCTCAATGAATACTCAAAGATGCATTTGAAGAATGTCGCGCTCTCGACAATGAAGCATACATGTCACGAGTTTTGAATTACCAAAACCATCATAATGACGTAAAAGCTAATCCCACAATGTTTACAGCTGCAGCTTCTCAATTTACTCGACGTCCTTTCAATCAGCCGTCTGCCTCGCAACCAAGATTTTATCATAATCCTTTGCATCTCTGAAATATTAGCAAATATGGAAGAGCAAATCTATACCGAAACAAAACAGGAATTTGAGTTTGAAGAAAATGTGGAAAACTACGACACTGAAGATAATTATGAACACGAACACGAAAATTTTCAACAGACAACCTCTTCAGATCCGACGACATAGTTGACCTAAATAACGCCGCTAGTATACCAAAATTGCCATTTATTATATTGCCCAACGGTTTAAAAATTTTAATTGACACTGACGCAGAATATTCTATAATTCAACCCTGACATTGCATTTTGTTTTCCTGACAAGTACATTTTTGGACAACCTTTTACAGTAAAATCTGCAACAGTTTCTAGGAGCGAAAAATATAATCTTTATTACCTTTTATTGGAAGGTATAAATATATACAACCCAATTCAACTTAGAATTATGAAGTAGCATGAAAAATTCGATGCACTTATAAGAACCAACGATTTGAAACAATTAGGAGCAAATATATTAGCTACCAAAATAATACAATAACCCTAAACGATCTGGAAATACCATTTCATCTGCATAATAACCAACGATTTTTCCAACTAATCGAAATTCAGCTGAAAAATTGTAAAATGCATTTACCAGTCGATACTAACCAGAACAGGTATTTTTAGAAGAAATCCCAGAATTAAATACTCCTTCCGCTCTTGTAGAAGTGCAAAACGGATTTGCAACTATTCCAAGCACATCCGAAGAATCATTCATATTTGAACACCGTGTAGAAGTTACCCCTATGGATGAACTAGAAGAACTTGATTACACTTTCGTGAAGCAATATATTAGCAT